GTATAAAATCTATCATACTTTCGACATCTCTATTCTTTCTGTTACCATCTTCTAATAAACCTTGTTACACCCACACTCTACCAGAAATTAACATMWTASAGTCCACTAGCCTCTCTCGCCTATCTCCTTGTATTCTCTCAGCGCATCTCTTCTAAACCTTTTAATTTCCTATTCCTTGAATCCTCGAACACTCTATACTTCTTATGTTTATACTAATTACTTAGTGTTTTTTATTACTGTTCAAATTTAATTATTTGCTAATTTGTTTTTTATATGTACGCCTAAGAAGTATAATTTCTTACGTTTGTACATAAGTACACACACCCGTGTTCTATTTCTATACATTAAATCACTTAATTGTAATTTCTTTTTTATTTAACACGTTGACTGCTGTGTAAGTCACTAATGACCTCAACACAACCAATAGTATATTTACATAATTAGAATAAATATCGATACTGATAAATTTTGAAATAATACTATTTTTTGTATAAGGATAGAAAAAAAATAATGACAGAGAACATCCAAAAATAATTTTATAATTAAAAGGAAACTATGGATGACATGTAAAGACATTTTTCTATACGTAACTGCCTAATGAAATGCTGTCTTCATCATCAGAACATTTAACTAAAAACATTTCTAACCTTATTCTAAAATCGGAAATTAAATAATTTTTTGAGTTATTTTCTATTTCTATTCTACTTTTTTATTTTTTTTTATATAAGAAACATCTAATTTCGCGGGTGCGATCAGCTGTTTGCGTAGTGACGCTTTTCGGTTTGACGCTCTATATAATATATATACAGGGTGTCCAATATAAGAAACATTCAAAAAAAATAATTTTTTTAATGTTTTTTAAAGATACCTTCATTTTTTTAAAAAGCACTTAGTATTTTTGACTTGACATTATTATAGCCAATAATAATACGAATTTAACGATATAGTATATTTGGGTCTTTGGATGACCTTATAAGCAAAGAAATGAAGATTCCAGCAAAAAATTATTTTACTTGTCGTCGACGAACAGAATGCGAAAGAGCTTTTAAAAACAAACAACTAACTAATTTGTTTAATTAGAAATCTTTTTACTTTACAAAGGACAACCGACCTCGTACACTACATATCTCTACAAGTGCATTCCTCAAAAATACAAATGTTATAATAGGAATAACGAACGGGAGGAAGAGAGAGAGAGAGAGAGAGAGAGAGAAAGGTACAGAGTACCATTAAACAAATTTATTTAAAATACGTAAAGAAAGAAGAAAGTTATGCAAAACAAAATTTATGACTTTTTTATTGAGGGTAATAAACTTCTCATAATAAAAATAAGAAATTCTAAATAACCTACTTCTTGCAATATCGTAGGCTTGAATGACATTTTACAATATCTTTGACGCAAAGAGATTTGATATAATAGTTTTGCACTTTATTTTAACGTACATTTAAATCCTTGGTCGATTCCCCTGGACTGAGCAGTTGCAACTGACCGAAGAGAAATTTAATAGTCAGGAATATCTTCAATTATATGTAAGTTTTTAGGGCATAAGGTGAATTGCGATCTCGCACATAATTGTTTTAAAATTTCTTCAGAACTTCTAAGTCAATAGAAACCATCCTCTGTCATACATATTACAACTGCCAATATATTACGTGAATTATCTCGCCCCTTGTTGACGGCAGGAATAGGATCACATAATTTTCATTATTTTTGCTTGTATTTGTTTGATTTTAGAATCTATTTTAGCTTCACTAGCATTTCCAATTTTGAAACAAAGGAGGCACAAAATATCCTTTTCATCATCTTTAATAGCATGGCGACAGAAGGTATGAATTTTTTGACAACACTTTTAGCATGCAAGTACATCACTCGTTTCTTTTAAACAAACACAACAAGTGTCAGAAACGGAAATCTCTTCGTTAAGCATAACTTCATCATGTTGGTATAATCTACTATCGACTATAGTCTCATCCATGTTTTCAAAAACAGGCTTTTTTTCTTGCGTAATCTGATTAGTTTTACCTGTTTCCATTGTTTAGAAGCTTTCTAATACTCTTTCTAGTTCCTCCTCTGTTTTTGTCTTTTAAAATATCTATCGGTAGAGAAGACGTTGTGGGCCCCATTTTAGATTTACACCAAAAAAGAGTACCGTATGGTGTTCTTTCGATTCTAGAATGATAAGTTTTATTTTTCATAAATTGAACAAAACCCAGTCCTTCACTGCAACGGTCTATTTTGTTGTCCTGCATCCAAGTATCAAGACATCTTGATTAGCTCTTTTGACACTACCTTGGCTTTGTGATTGGCTAGGCTTCCGATGAAAGATCTTCAGTGCTGGCCAAAATTCCTTCAAGCTGGTCACTAAATTATTAGCAAGTTCTCTACCATTGTCAGACTGTAATTTTAATTGCACTTCAAACATTAAGAATATGTTGAGTAGATTCTTGGATACATCTTCAGCTTTTTTTTTGACATAAAAGACTTAAGAATCACAAATTTTGTGAGATGATCTTCCTACACCAAAATAAACTTGAATTCTCTATCCAGCTGAGTCTGAAAATCAATAAGATCTACCTGAATACGGGAATTAAACTCGGAACTAATCAGAGATCTCACAAGAATGCCTTTTTTAATAGCTTTTCGTTTTTTCTGGCAAGGTTTCCAAAGGTGGATGTACAGTTCCATATCTTTACGTGTAATGTTTTTGTATTAGGCTTAAAGTTGTTTCATCTTTTTATCACGTCCTTCGTGTCCCATAGTCAAATGCGATTAATAAAGCACGTGAAATAACTCTGAGTCTGTAATGTAATACTGTATAGAATGGGAATCTCCTTTAACAGGATAAATGAGTTTAGTTTTGTTGTCTACGACTATCATATCATAGCGTTTCAGCAACATATAGTCCCTTATATCCTTTTTAATAGTCGCTTTAGCTATTTGTGCATCATTTATTAACTTCTGGTAAGTAGTTTTAGTTAAGAAAAAACAGTTTATGGAAGCATTAACTCGAGTTTTGGACAGTTTATCGTCAAATCGTTATTTCATGTATCGACAAACATTGTTTTAACTTTCAATTACAAGAGTATAGACAGCATATTTTTAGATATCTTTTAAAGTTCTACCTCCAAGTTATCGAAAGTTTTACTTAAAAATTTTTTCAACGAAATAGGACAATTTTATTCGACACCGTAAAAAAAGTCCTTCAAAACAAAAAATTATTTTTATCGTAAATAGAGAAAGAGCGGTTTTCTTGGAAAAATATTTGAGTTTTGATATTTGATATTTGAGAACATGACTTCTTTTCCTACATTACAGCTTGCTTTTTCATTTTCATGGAGCACAGTAAAAAACTATTTGTTTTTTTAACAAATTAAACACCTAAGCTGCTAGACGAGTTTTTGTGCGCAAATTTTAGAAACTGAACGTGCTGCTTTACTGTGCGTTTCTCTATAAACTGAAACTTACTCTATACCAGTGTGGTATTATGTAGGGCTCACTGTTACTTATCTTAGTAGATGATTATATTACATTCAAATCGATATTCCTAGAGATTTCCATAAAAATATTTATTTTTTGCTCCTTATCGTATCGGAAGATAAGCAGGTTAAGATCGAAATGTTTTATACCTGCATTGCGTTGAAAATCATTCAAAGAGAACAGTAAAAAAAAAATAATTATTTTAACTAAATAAACATCTTTACTGCTCCGTGAATTTTTGTGTGCAGGCTTATAAGACTGTGCGCATTTGTAGAAATCGGTACTTACTTTATACCGGTGTGTTATTATGTAGGGCCCACTGTTAATTTCATAGAGATTACCATGGAAAATCTGCCTCTTTTGCTCCTTATCGTATCGTAAGATATATATAAGCGGGTTTAAATAGAAATATTTTATATTTGCTTTTTTACTTTACCGGTTTCTCATTTTTCATTCTGAAGAATTTCTAGGAAATGTGAGAAATATGAATACATTCCTGATTTTTTCGAGAAACGCTTTGCATTGAGGACGATGCTGGGGTATTGCTAACTTTGCCTGATTTCCCACTGTTTTTGTAATATATATACAATTTGTACAGTAGGTTCCACTACTTTAAAGAGGATAATTGAGATCCAATTTGCCGATTACACAGCTCTGTTAGCATCGGACAGCGATCACCTAAATTCGACTAACATTTTTAATATCATCTGCATTTTCTAGAAAGATTTAGCTAAAAGTTGCGTAATACTATTAAGAAAAATAAATTCGGGTATATAACTTTTACGCAGCGTAAGCGCATGTTTTCCTGTAACCCTAAATAAAGCAGATATTTCAATCAATGATTCGGTCAAATACTTAGGTATAATACTGCATAAAAGGCTTAGATAAAGACAACATATCTTATCCCAAGAAAGTACCTAAACGCGAAAGAGTAAACAGCTATATTATTTAATTTGTAGAATATCTAACATAACTAAAGTCTAGAGAGCCAATCTACTATATAAAACTGCTCTGAAGCCTATACGGAAATATGAAAAGTAAATATCATTAATTTACTTGTTCATTTATCTATTACTTTGTGGGAGAATATAATTTTGCCTTTTTTAATTGGTCAGTTTATTTTATGTAATTTGTAGTTATTTCACGAGTTAACCGAACTCATACCTAAGCATTAACATATATCACAATACATTATAGATTAGTATATTTGTGTTTGGTATATATTACCGTTAAAATCTGATAACCAAGAATACAAATGAGAGAAGTAGCTCCGAAAAGGTGAGCCAGTAGTGTCACGCTGAATGCATTTGCCACGGTCTTGCCCATTCTAAAATAAAAGATGTTCCATTATTCCTTATAAATCGTTAACTAAGAAAAAAGTTTTTAAAAAGGAAAATTTTAATAACTGAACATTGAGCAAAAGATTTAATACAATAATTCAGATATATTCTAAAAGTACCAATATTGCCGCTGGTCTCTACATAGTCTAAATGTAAAAAAATAAGCATAGGAAAATTTGTGTTAGGAGAAAACTTCGCTCACTCAACAAATTTAAAGGTCAAAATAATTGTAATACTTTTCTAAATCTACAGTATCGGTAAATAAGAAATACTATTCCGATTTTGCTTCACCAAATAAAATTTGAAAAGATCTTTTTATTACATCTTCAAAAGATTAATTGCAAGTGTTTAAGGGGCACACCTAGTTTGACCGCCTAAAAAAAGGTGATTTTTAAGAATTTTTTTTAAAGAAAACTACTGCATGAAATTTTTTAAAATTTAGAGAATATATTTATACATAATTAACGAATATTCACTACAATTTGCAAATAAAAAAAGGTAATTTTTAGCGAGTTATTCGCTATCTCTCAAGTCACTATAAAAAAAGGACCTAAACGGCTGCAGTGATTCCGGTCTTCACCGTGGATGAAATAAAAAAAAAATACGTTTAATCTAGAATGTATTGCCTATACAATGACCTAAAATTGTGAAAAAAAATTGAAATTGAACAAAATGACAGACTTTTAAAAAAAAATCGAATTTTGCTCAAAATTTTGATGATTTTTGGCCCGCCAAAATTACATTTTTTATACAATTTGAAAACTTCTAGGTCATTGTACAGAGAAACATATACGAAATAAATAGGAAAAAAATCAAAGCGATCGGATGATTCTTTTTCGAATTACAACTGCAGCCAATTTGAAAAATGTAGTTTTGAGAAAAACGCGTTCAAAGATAAAATGATTGCTTTCTAATCCCTGAGCAGCTACTCTTTAGAAGGCTATAACTCTAAAACTATTTGAAATATTTATTTGATATTTCAGTATGTTATTTTTAAAGACATAGACTATATAAATATGCAAAAAAAAGAAATCAATTTTTTCAAAATTGTACGCTAGGTGTGCCTCTTAGGCAAGCTGTAGAATTTACTTTCAAAGTAAAATTTATTATGTATAAGAGAAAAGATCACAGTATGATTGTATTGAAATGTTTTCATTGCTTTTTTATTACTAATGGTCGTAAAAGAAAGGAAAAAATTTCATGACGTACATTTTCTACTTTGTATTTAGCGTGCTTTTCTGTAGCAAAATTTGTTTGCTAATATTTCAAGACATATAAAAAATATAGCATAAAAAAGTAAGCAAAATACATGGAAAGTGATTTCAAATGAAAGAACAAGAACTAAAATTAAACCTAAAGCTGAAAATACAATAGAAAAAAATGGTAACGTATTAATAATAATTAAAGAGTTAGAGTTTTCCCATTGTTTATGAAACTTGCGTTTATTACCATCCGCTTCGTACATAATCTTTTAAGCACACGATTATTTAGAGTGTTCTTTTCAGGAATAGCGTCTTTGTTTCGTCTCGTCATATTTTGCGAGTCACCAGAAAGATTTTCTTATTTTCATCTTAAAATCGTACAATCAAGAACCACGTAATCAATATCGATTACGTCTCGATTATTGAGGAAGACAGATCGCATGGCCGTTACATCACTTATCAAACTATCACAAAGAAGGCACGCTTGAATTAAGTTTGTCAAAAACTGGTTATTCTATTTCATATTTATTAAACTTCTTGAGTTATTTTCTATTCTAAAATTTACTCAATAATCGATTCTCTTATAAAATCATTAAACTCGTCACTACATCAGTTCCGACAATTTCCTCATCTCTACTCTTAGGCTGTTGATGTCCTTGTCCTTCATTTTGCTCAGTCACTTGTTATATAAGCACTGCCACATAGGTACGACGGCTTTTCTGACGGTAGTGGAAACAACTAAGCTACGAATATCATCTAACAAAGACACTCACACATATACAACATATTTACTGTAAATATTGAACTATTTTTACATGCAATACGACATTATTCTAAATACGGTACATACGTGTATACATCCTATAAATAAGCTTATACAGGTTGTCTCATATAACTCTTGTCTCGACTTTTCAAGTACTTGTGATAACCTGACAAAAAAATACTTTAAACAAAAGTGGATCTGTTTTTGATTGACAATACATTGCGTTACGTTCCGAAAACGGGAGAATAAGAATTTAATTTTAGAGCCTGTTTTAGTCACTCTGCATTCACCGTGTTTTGCCAGGACCAGGCAGGTTCGTTTTTCCCGAAGTATTGGGTTAGCAAGAAAGTAATTTCTGTTTGCACCAGTAGTTAGCTTTATGTTTGTTTCGTTATTCTTTTTTCAATGTTATAATTTTGGAAATTATACTTCTTTTAGCGCGTTTTGTAAACTGAAGTTAGATGCGACCGAAAAATCGACACCACGAAGTGGTCGATATTTATGATGCGCGGGCTAAGCGATTTCAAATTTTTCTTCTCAAGCTGTCACCACTCCATGCCCGTTGACGCATAAGGTCATTTGATATAACTCCCTTATATCTAGTGTAGACTGATATCTACATTTTGATATTTTTAACCAGGATCAGTATACATTTAAATTTCTGTTAAAGTTTTCGAGATGTCTAAAATTAATGCAGAGAGATGTAAAGAATATCGTTTTCGTAGGAAGAAGAATAAGGAAAATAAGGAAAACAAAATGCAAACTAATGCGGAACGTTTTAGGGTGTATAGGCTGCAAAGAAAAATGATTGCACTATGATATTAAGTGTCTGCGAATAAAATTTTAAGTATTCCGTCAACTTTTAATTTACTTTGCGAACCATCGACTCAGCCTGTGATTACCGGTACAAATTTAAATAATTTTATTGTCACAGCAAAAACTAATATTATTGTTTACTATTTATTTTATTCGTCTGGTCTTTACTTTTTGAAGTTATTTACATTTATTTTATATTTATTCAATTCTAAAAATAACGAGCATGGCCTAACGAGGATTTCCTTTAGAATTCGTGTGCCACTCAACGTGATAACGATTTATGTACCATTTGTAAAGATTATGGATTCTTAGCGTATATTGGAAAGACGCGACTCAATCTTTTTGAGAATATCGAAGTGAGAATATTCTTTCTTTGTGAGAATATTAAGAATATCGAAATGTTAACGTGCCTCCCCACTCTTCAAACCGTTAGTAAGCACTTTCTGCTGGGTCCGTAAAAAAAACACTCGTCCTATTCTTACACTGGATGCGTACGACGACACGTTTTAGACAACCAGCAGAGAATTTAAGAAGAAACCGACGAACAAAGCGATACAAGCTAGAAACGAAATAAGCAAAGTATAAGTATCCCTTATCCTTTCATAAACGTGGTGAGTCTTGTTGTTGAATCCATATACAAGCGAAGCAAACGAGAGGTAAGGCACGTTTTCAATCTTCTGTTAGATGCAATTCCTTATTATATCTAATTTATCAACAAGGGTTTTTATGCTACAAAGCTTTTCCCTGTCGAGCCAATAAAATATTATACCCTGTTGTATTGGTTCAAACAAGTGTTTAATTTCTTATTTCTTATTTTAATTAAACACTTCTTCTTCCTAAATAAAATAATTAAATCATACTTATTAATTATATATATATGTATATGTAATTAATAATATATATATATATATAATAAATATAATAAATATAATTCTTAATGATAAGGTATCACAGGGAACTTGGACATAAAAAAGAAGTAGAACTTAATTTAACTAAAGAAGCGTTTCGTCCCTTTATTGGGACTTCTTCAGCAACTAAAAATTTTATTATCATTTCTCATATTACGACATACATGAGGCTCATACAATATATAATTTTTTACATGTTACCTTAATCTTTACTAGTGTTTATTAGTCTAGATATCTTCAATGGAAGGTGTCCTCTATTATAGTGTTCTATTTATTATCGTTAAATTTAAAAATTCCGTTATAGATGTGATTTAAATTATTTGTGTCTGTTCTAAAATTTAYCGTGTTATTGTTTGATATATGAAACATTTCGCTGATATTTCTTTTATACCAATTTTCTTCTAAATCTAAAATAGTTGCTGCGTTAAATTTAAATTATGTCCTGTTATAAAATGATGTTCAGCTAACGCTGTGGTATTAGTTTTACTTACATTTATAGGTTTACAGTCATTTTTATGCTGGTCTAATCCTTTTTTAAGTTTCTGTTTAGTTTGTCYAATATAGCACTTTTCACATTCACATGGTATTTTATACACTAAGTTCGACTGGTCAGATTTGTCTACCTTATCTTTTAATTTGGTGTAAATAGTGTTTATTTTTGTTAGATTATAAAAAACCAGTTTGATATTAGTTTTTTTGAAACATTTCTTTATTTTACTTACTAACGGTTTAATGTATGGGAACTTAATGTATTTTTTATCTTGCGGATTCGGATTATTTACACGATCTTTGTCAATTTTAAATTCATTAAATACCATGTGTATGAGACTCATGGGATAGTTATAATTCTCTAAAAGAGTCTCTTTTTTTTTCCTATTTTCTGTATGAAACTTCTTACTGCTTAAAGGTAAAGCTCTAAATAGTAAACCTTTTAAAGCTCCAATTTTTTGACTTAAGGGAAGGTTCGAATTGTAATTAATACATCGCCCTGAGCTTGTTGGTTTTACATACCAATTCATTACTATAGTTCCGTCTTCATTTCTTATGACTGTTACATCTAAGAATGGTAATGTTCCGTTGTCTTCTACTTCAATGGTGAACTGGATTTTTTCATTTATCATATTGAAGGTTTTTAATACTAATTCGATTCCCTCTTTAGATAGTGCAGTAATAATATCATCTACATATACTTTTAAGAATGGAACTGCAAAAGGTAAATTGCCTTCAATTTTTTTTAAAACATGATTCATTACCAAATTCACTAATATTGGGCTTGCTGTATTGCCCATGCTAAAATC